AAAAAAAAAAAAAAAAAGAAAGTTGAGGTCGGGGGGGCGGGGGTGTTCCGAGGGGGGAGGAGATCAAAACCGAGCAACGAAGTAAACTAGAAAAAAAACTTTGTAAGGGACAAACTAGCAGGAGGACATTTTATCTTATGGCAACAGAGGTCGCTCAGTTTTTAGTTCTATGGCGGAGTTTCCGTACCCAAAAAAAAAAAAAAAAAAAAAAACACTTCAAAAAAGTGAAGGACCCCTCAATTGTTATTGTGGTTCTGCCTGCAGGTGGGAGAAGATGCAGAGTGAAGAGGAGGCAGCACTTGGTAGAGGGAAGAGGAAGCGGACGGTTGTTTCCTACAACGAGTCTCAGGCTGTCCGGACAGTGACGGAGCCGGGAGATGAGGTGAGTGAAAAGAGCACCGGGGAACCTTTGCCTTTACCTTGCAACCCCCAGGTGTTCAAGTAAGTTTCTTGCTGAAGACTTCCATTCTGGATCCTGTTGTGATCTTTGTTCTGTCAAACGTAAAACACGCTGGAGTTTTCAGTTAATAGCCACGGCATGTGGAAACGAACTGGGTTTAACGAGCAAATGCTGTTCATCGGCGATGTTTACCAGAGGCGAGGAAGTAATTGAAGTGTAAAAGGTAAGGTAATGAACCTTTAGGGATTTAGTCAATGCAAAAAAGGATTGAGAAAAGGATTTGGGCAATGGCTTTTAAGAGAGAGCGAAATCTTGGTCCGTTCACCTGGATCCCGTGAGATGCGTGACATGCAGTAGTTTACACAGGGCAGATAGTTGTGTTTGTCTTTGATGTGTGCTTGTCCGCTTCTCGTCTGTTCTGGTTGTATGGTGTTTTTGTTCCTAGGAAAAAAATTGGTTGCTGACCCTTGCTCTGTTCCTTTGAATGCCCTTTTGGAACTGCTCATCTCCACAGACGGAGGAAGAGGAGCCTGCCCGCGAGTACACTGAAGCAGGCAAAGCACTAAAGGAGAAACTGTAAGTTCACTTTTCGCCGTCTTGTCTACCTTCTGCTGTGTTGCGTAGCATTATTCATGTCCAAATTCCAATCCACTCTCATTGGCTTGCCATGGCTGCATACAATTTTAAAGAATCCTTCTTCAGGCTCCTCTTCGGTTTTCTATGCTCCAGAGACTCAGGGGTCATGATAAAAACCAGTGTTGTCGGTGATCTGAGAATGAAAGCGTGCTGGTCAGTGCTGCAGGAGTGATAGTTAAATGCCTGTGTTCTATGAATATTGAGATGATGATGCTGAAGCCAATACTAAGGGAGTAATGGAACGATTGGAGTTCCCGAGCGAGATGCCATCTGTGACTTAAGTGCACGTACTGGGACTTCATCTGTACCCAGAAAGCATGAACCTAGTTGCACAAATGCCCTGTCTGACTTTTCTACAGGTGGACAGAAACTTGTTTTGCACTCCTATGTGCCTCCCCAGGACGTATACCTCCACTTTGTTCATTGCCTGGGTGGCACGTCAAATAAAAGAAAACATTGTTGTTCTTAGCAGTCATAATATTAACATGGCTGTATGGTCAGCGCTTGCACCACATTCTCCTGGCATCTCAACCAGTTTGTTCAGGTGCAAATGTCTGCAATTTGTCCTGCAGCACTTGCTTTGCCTGCGTGGGCCGGTTCACATCTTGCAACTTGCAAGCATTGTCATTTCCCGTCCTCAAATGTGTGGTATTGCACTTATGGGGAAGTTTGCCTCCCTGTGTAGTCCGTGAGCAGAGTGGATTTGGGACCCGCTGGCTGGTAGCTGGAATCCTGCCAAAAGCAAGACGGGAATGCGGCAGGAATGCGTTGCTTGGCAATCTCTTCCTGTATGCAGGATATGTTGACATTGTGGCGACATGCAATGCGTCTGACGTAGTTTTGGCTGTTGTTGGGTTTGCATCTGTGCAGTGCCAAGCTCCGTGCACGGCAGAAGGAAAGAATCGCGAACAGAGGAAAGGTTCAGGAGCAGGCTGCAGCAGCTGCGGCGGCGGCAGCCAAGGCAGCTGAAGCGGCCAAGCAAGCCGCAGCAGAGGCGGCTGCCAAAGCCGAGGCAGCAGCAGCAGCAAGTAAGGCGATGGCCTTGCAGAGTCAGGTGCCTTCTTCAGGGTCGATGGGTCCACCTAGGATGGCTATTCCAAGCACGCAGGTGCCAAGCTCGGCTCACAATCAGCGACACGGGAGTCTAAACTCTTGGCATGGAGCGAGCCCGGTGCAATGGTCGCTTCACCTTGGGGGCCACAAACTATCGCAATCGAGCCCACAGCAACTCTCACAATCTCAAGATCACCAGCAAATGCAACCTGGTGGCCACGGATCTTCATCTTCTCGAGGGCTGGGATCTGCGCATGCGAATGGAGAGGGGCGAAGTACTGGTGGCCAGGATTCTCAGTCTTCACAGAACTTGCAGAACGGAGGTACCGGGGATGGAAAACCTGTCTCAGCGGCACCTCATCTCCCTACTTGTTCATTTCAAGGAACATCTCTGCCCCTGTCTTCATCCCAAGTCACAGCTGATAATGGAGCCAAAAAGACTACATCCGTGGATGGCAGTCAAAAGGGTAACACTGGCCTCGTGAAGGTGACATCTATCAACAATGTCGAAACCAGCCGTGAGGGGAATGTATCGTATCCTCATAGGATCTACACTGTGCTGGGCATACCAATTGGGCCAAAAGGAGCAGGGCATGTGACTCCAACAGCAGCGTCCATGGCAGCTGCGGCGCAGGCTCTTGCTGAGGCTAATGCCCGGTGGAAAGCAGCTCAAGCAGTCCGAGAGAAGAGGACCTCTGCAGCAGGGACCGGACAGCTGCTTGCGTCCACAGCTCCGTCATTATCCCAACAACAGCAGCAGCTGGCATCATCCTCGTCGCAGCGGCCCCAACCCAGCCAAGCGGAGGGGTACATGCAGCCACCACAGCAGGCTCCTTCCCTCACACGGTCAGAGCTGCAATTGGACTTGTCCCAACCACCCGTTTCAAGTTCTGAGCCCTCGATACAGCTGCAAAGTCAGTCGCAAGTGCAGCAATCAGGAGCACAAACAGGTTCAGCGAGTGGTGGTGGAAGCGGTGTGGGTGGCCTTTACTTGTCACAAGGCCTCCGCCCCCTGGCACCAAGGTCAGCACCAGCAGGAAGCAGCGCTGCAGCAGCGACCATGCCATTGTTTAGTAAACTTCCGTCGGTACCTGATTCACAGCAGCACCAGCTGCATCCTTCCCAAAAACCAGAACAGCAGCACCAACAACCAGCATTGCATACGAACAAGCAGCAGCAGCAGCAGCAGCAACGGCAACAGCAACATCAGTTACTTCAGCAACAGCATTTACAACGATTGCAACATCTTCAGCACCCAAAACAACAACTTCAGCAATCATCGTCTCAGGTGTCCACAACATTGCAACTTGCACAGCAACAGCAGCAGCAACAGCAACAGCAACAACTCCTCATCAAGCAGTCGCTGATGAACTTGCAGTTTCCACCACCTCCCCAGTTGCAGCAGCCGAGCTCTCAACAACAGGGTCAAACTCAGCCATCTTCATTGTCATCAAGTAGTGTAACTCTTCCGCCAATGCCGCCGACTGTTCTGAAACCCAGGCCAGGATCTCCACTCATCAGCTTCGGGAGCAAAGCACAGCTTAGTCAGGTATACAGCGACTGGGCACGCTGCCTTTTGACTGGTCAGGACCCAGTCTGCCTCCTTGATGGTGCCTCTCGCTCAGTCTTTGCCTTTGTTTGACTTGCAGTATGTATGTATTGACTTAGTGTTTGTCACTTTGGAGGCCACTGGCCAGTCCAGGGTGCAGCAGGGAAGGTAGGACAACCTGACCATTGCAATCATAGGTGCTACCACTATCAGGGGCACAAGCAGGAGGTACTCGCAGCAGGCAGTGGGTAACTCTGACTGATGATTGCTTTCGTGTTTCCTAAAAAATCCCGTTTCGTTGAGCATTCCAGCGTTCATCAAGCGTTAAAGCTTCAGCGATTGTTTGGAAATGACTGGGGTTATATTGAGTTTTAGCAGGTGATGCATGCATCATTGGTTACTGAGGAGGAACATGTCAAGGGGCAATTGTCGATTGTTTTCATTTGTTTACGGTTCCATTGGGGAGATGCCAGGGAGTGGGGATTCACCTACAAAAGCTCGCTCGTTCTATTGTATGTGGCTTCAGCGAATGTTTGTAAATGGTTTGCTGCATAGAGTTTTAGCAGGTGATGCATCCATCATCCGTCATCGACGAGAAACTTGTCAAGACTCGAGGGGCAATCGCTGACTGTTTTCATTTATTTGCTGTTCCATTGCAGATGCCAGGTAGCGGGATTGATCTACAAAAGCTTGCTCATTCTTTCCTATGCGGCCCAGGATCAGGAATCTCAACATCAGCCATGAAGCATATGGTGATGTCGGGGAATTCGGATGGTTCGAACCGGAGGTCTCTGTCTCATGCATCAAGCCAAATGGACCACGCGCAGGGTTCACAAGCGTCATTCATGTTCAACATGGGTAAACAGCAGATGCCTCCATCGCCAGCTGTAGGAACTCCACGGGACTTGCATGGACTCACGGACATGACAGCACCGGGTCCTGTGGGTCCTAGCCTTGTACCAATACACCCGAAGGCTGGATTAGGTGCCTCAGGTGCACATTCTTCTGCGAACCATCCCGCTGTCCCTCCAATGCACCTTCCGTTTCCTCACGCATCTCCAACACTGCATATATCACCCCTTCTACATGACACCCAGCAATCGCCTGCGGCATTACAAGCGGCCGCAGCGAGATTGTATAGGAACAATCAAAGGCTGGCTGCCAAGGCCCAGGGACAAGCCAAGGTTGCTGCTAGTCTGACCAACTCTTCCATGTCCAACTTCAGTTCAGGCTCAAGGATGGCTGCGGCTGCTGCAGCAGCTGTCGCTGCAGCATCACAAACACAACAGAATCTCCAAGCAAGGGGCGCACTGCACTCTCGGCTCCCACTTCACAGCAGGGACACCAGCAGGGCAGGACTAGAGCAAGGGAAGGGCCTCGTCGGTGACCACGGGCTGGGTATGGAAGCAGCAAGGCAAAGTGAAAGAGGCACTGGTGGTCCAGGAGGGACCAGCCAGCCACAGGGCGGGTTGTCTTCATCGTTGACACTCGGCAAAACGGTGGTTCCTCGACAAGAGCAGGCATCGCGTGCCTCATCCTTGTCGGACAAACCCTCTGAGGAAGTATCACGGAACTTTATGGAACGGACTGTTCAAGGATCTCATCATGATGGCTCGAAGGCAAGTCATTCAAAGCCGGCACAGAGTCCTGAACCGGTGTCGAAGTCGTGTGAGCGAGGAGTGGAGCGTGCAGTGGGAGGACTACGAATCGTTGTGAAGAATGTGAAGAAAGAAAGCAAGGCGGGCGCATATGCGAGCGAGGAATCCTCTTCGGATGATGAAGAGGATGACAGTCAAGAGGAAAGAGATGCAGAAGCAGAGGGATCATCTTGGACAGAACAAGAGAATTATGCCCTCTGGAGTGGTGTGAGGTGTTATGGAAAAGGGGCTTGGGATAAAATGCTTGAAGATCCATCGTTACACTTTGCCAAGGGCCGCACGCTGGGCAATCTTGCGGCACGGTGGAAAGCAGAGGAGATGAAAATGTTCGGTGCGCCTCTGAAGACATCCAAACGAGAGAAAGGAAGGAAGAAGAAGAAGAGGAGGAAGAGGAAGAAGGCGAAGAGCAGGTTGGGGCACAGTGCTGGAGAGACCAGCTGTGACCCTGATACTCGCAGCTCGCAGATGGGTGGCAGGCCGAGTGATGCAGAGAGCAGTGAACAGTCAGAGGAGGATGCCAGTGGCAGAGACAATGATGGAAATGGGCCACGACGAAGAAAGAGTGGCAGCGCCATGGTGCTGCACAGCTCTCAACTTAAGTCAGAGCGGCACAGCGAGCAGGACCGTGAGGAAGGCTCCAGGACGGAGAAGAGAGAAGTCTCAAGAAAACCAACCGGTGCTCTGTCAGAAGATGAGAGTGTGGTGAACAGGGACAGAGTGTCGGATCATGGATTGCAACGGACGAAAGACAGACTCGACAAGGCTACGAGTCGAATCGCTGGGAACAGTGATGTGTCATTGCGGAAAAGGGGTTCTGATCGTGAAGAATATGGAACTGGCAGAAAGAAGAAGAAAGTAGAACGTGATGGTGCTGAGATGGAGGAGCCTGTCGGATCAGGTGAAGGGGATGATGCTCAGGCTAGGGAGGTTGAGGGCGGTGCAGGCCAGAAGGATGATGACCGGTCTGTTAGGCGGGCTGAGAAAGCTGTCGACGCGGCTGACCCATCTCAGAGAAAGTCAAAGTTCAGAGCGGAAGAGTCAAGAGTGGGTGCGAATGATCCAGTTTCTAGGCAGTGGCAATCTGGCTTGCGGAACGAGGGTGACAATGCTCAAGCATCCTCCGACTCCACGGTCTCAGGGTCAGCCAAGTTCAGGTCTCGTGTATCCACGCCTCCACATGCTGGCACAGACGAACATGTCATGGATGATTCAAAGGCATTGGTACCTCTATATTCTGCTCAGCACCAGGAACACTCTGCTCGAGCTTATCGAGAGGATGGAAATGGAGGTGCAAGCAGAGCCAGCAATGACTCTGCTACCGGGCCTGGGGCAACAAGGGGTGCCAAGAATGGCAGCGTGGTGAGGCCGGGTGATGCCGAGACTCCTGTAAAGCCAGATGAGATCGGAGAGCTGGACTGCCGGAGTGGGCAGCAGGTCCTCCCTGGTCCATCAGGTGCAAGTCAAGTGCCCACTGATGGGACCAGCAAACTTCCGCACTGGCTTCGTCAGGCTACATCAGGCATTCGCCCAGCCGGGCCTCCGGTCGTGACACCACCAGCTCCACCTGTGATCACCGGACCACCCGTGCCTCTGCATCACAGAATTGCGGCTGCTCCTATGCGGCCAACACCAGCCCCATGGCAGTCTATGCCTCCTGCCATCCTCGCTGTGGCACAGGCCACCGTCTTTCTTTTCCGAAACCACAAACCGCTTCTGTCACCCTTTGCTCACCCTCCACCCCTGCCTCCTCCCAGGGATCTCCCTAAGCTATTGAAAAAGAAGAAGCTGAGGAGGGCAAGTGGCAAGCATCCTGGATCTGGTGCTGGGAGGGAGGGGAGTGGGGGCTCAAAGGGACCGGGCTGTGCATTTGCGGGGAGCCTTATGGGAGGAGGCACAAGGATGATGGGCCCGCTGATGGGCACTGCAGGCGGCTCAACCTCGTCATCGTCCTCTCAGCAGCCCAGGTCAGCATCTGCCTTGTCTCATTTTGCAACCCTCTCCCCATCGGCCGTGCCGCCCCTCTCACCATCCTTTGTCAATCTGGGTGCTGGCTCTGGCATGCCAATGAATCAATCATTGACCATGATGTCCCCTGTCCTGCCTCTCTCCTCGAAAGCCCTGGCAGATTCGGCAGGGTCATCCCATGCGCCGCCTCTGACCCTTCCTGGGTGGCCGTCGTACGTGAGCGACGCAAATAAGTTAACACTGGACACACGCCCATCCACACACCTATTCCTTTCTCCCGTCGCACCCCATCAAGGTGTCAGCCCAACGTCCACGCCCCAGCAAGGCCTTCGGTCTTCCAAGGTGGGGATGGACATGGATCTTTCGTCAAAGCTGGCTAACAGAGCACCGTCTCCCTCACCCTCTTCCTCCACTCTGTTTACCATGGAGTACATCCATCCTCCCAGTTCAGCACCAATGATGTTGGCCCAGTCGTCCGCACAGCCCTCAGGCTTAGGAACTCATCATCAACCTGCAGGTGGAGCCTTTTTATCATCAAAAACATTTCAGCTGGATTCACCAGCAGCGCCGGGTGGAAAGCCTTCCTCATTTCCTGGCGTGGGGAAAACTCCCGTGCGCTCCTCGTCAAGTTCACCTTATCTGGACACGGCCTACCTGCCTGCCAGGGCAGCACCCTCCTTCCCAGCCCATCTTTCGTGGATGACAGCCCACATGCCTTGTCCCTCTCAACAGCAGCCATCCATTCACCAACTCATGCCTCCCTCCCAATCGTCACGAGGACATTCGTCCATCATGGTGCCCGCTCTGTCAACACAAGCGGGTTCTCCGGAGGACGATGTAGCAAGGAACGGTGGTGCGAGGTTTGACGAGGGCGGGAAGCAAAAGAGTAGGTCAGTACACCACCACATTAGAAGTAGATTGCGAAGGGAGAGACATGGGGAGGACGTGCGCCGTGAAGGGGCACAGAGAGGTGGTGACTACGGTGGTGGTTCAGGTGCCGAGGACTCGACGGATGAGACTGTGTCCGATGATGAATTGAACTAAGGGACAAGTGACAGCACAGTGTCTGGAGCAGAGAGGACAGTTAGTGCTTCCGCTTCCCGTGCCCTGTGCTGCCCCTGCGATGTGTGAGCTCGTCTTTCACAAATCTGGTGCTTGAGCCAGTCTGCAGAGGAAGACAGAGCTTATTAGCACGGTCTTATCTTATTCTTTTGTGGCGAGTGAGGTAATTCTTTTTGCAGAACAGGTCAATTCCCTGCTTGTACAAAGTGATGATGGAACAGTGTTGGCACCTCCCGTACCAATCAACAGGTGTTTGTAAATGCCTCTACCCCCCCCAAGTTATGGCACCGGATATGATCCCCCGGGACTATGGAACACTCCTTGCACTGCGCCATCGGTCCCGCTTCGCCCTGGCTAGTTTTGCCACTCCTTTCGCTTCTTGGGGGGTTGTTGTATTGCATGAGGGCTGTCGGCGGGCGGGGGGCGACGAGGTGTAGTACGAAAGGAGGAGCGACTTGGGCGTTCCACGGAACGGGATGAAAGTAGTAGTTCGATGTGGATGATGGACCTGGACATGGTCCGCCGACGGTTGGATATATGAGCCACCATTGGGATGTAAGTTGCTGTAGATTGGGCAGGATCACCAAAATTACTGATAATTTTCTTTCTTTGCAAAATTTAGACATAGAGGCAGGCAGGCAGGCAGGCAGGCAGGCAGGCAGGCGTGGAATACAAAAGTTTTTTTCTTTTGTAAGGTGTGTGTGAGTAGGTCCTTTGGGTAGTTAGTGTCATGTTGCTGGTCCGCTAGCAGGGCCAGTTTGTGCGTGAGGTATCCAGGTTATTGCTGATAGTTTTTAACTTTTAATCGTTGGTGAATTAATAATTTCAGCCACTCTTTTCCTATTTTTCCATCTCCTGGAGTGTCCCTCTGCGATACGAGTCCCCTCCATACTGCTTTGTGAATGTCAAGTCATTCTTCCATGGGTGTGCTCTTCTTAATCTCCGACCGTCTTGATTTGTTTGCCTTCCTCTGTGGTATTTGTTTGTGTGCATTTTTGCCGCCTCCCTTGCTCTCGTTTCTTTTATAATATGACTACCAACTCGAGAACCATCTCGCTAATCGGAAAATTAAACAATGTTCTACACATTTATTTGCAACCCTTCTTTTAATTTGAAGCTGTGCCTACTATGCTATACTAGCAGCTATAGTAAACACATTACCTTGGAATGGCCAGACTCTTTATATATAAGGCTGTTTCGCCTGGGACACGCGTGAAATCTTTGGCGGAGGTGCAGATCTGGAAACGCTTTCCCCTTTCCCTGTCGGCTGGCTAGTTGACATTTCCATTCACCGGGATCGTCGGCGGGATGTTGTTCATCTCATCCTGCCCTGGTGCGGGTTGATCCGATGGAACAAATTTAGAATTTTAGATGGGTTAAAGGAGGGTAGCGCAGGAGAAAAAAAAAAAAAAGGAGGGTAGCGCAGGAGGCCAGGGGGCAAAACTGAAGGCTAACCTTGAGGAGTCGGCGTTGAAAAACTTTGCTCGTCGATGGTGTGGTGTCGGAATCCAAGTGTAGGCAAATAAGGGCCTCACTCCACCAGGCACCAAATGTGCAAAATGAGAATGAATCTTCTGCTAGAACATGGAAAGATAGAGTGCTATATTTTTTGTCTTGTGTGCATGTGCTGAGTGTTGAAGCGAGGCCGGAAGGCAGGTGGGCGAACATGAAGAAAAAACAGATAAATGAGGAGAGCTCGGGTGCATAAAAAGTTTGAAAAGTGAATCGCGGAATATTACGAAATGCGGAAGTAGAACCAGAACCGTAAGGTTCTGGTTTTGTTTTTCAGAAGAAAAAAAATAAAAGAAAAGAAAAAGAAAAAAAAAGCCGACGATGCATGCATGAGCAGTCAGAGGTATCTGTCTACACCCCGACTGGTCTTGGATTAGAATCTGCCACAGTGAGATGGTGAATAAGAGGGCTGCCATGCGGGCCGTTTTCAGTGGAAAAGGCACCCTGTTCAGGAACACAATGCATCTTTCCAGTCTGGTACAGGCATCAGTAGGCTACATTGTGCTAGGGGCAAAGATGGTAGTGCGGGCTTGGGACCCCTTGCAGTTTGTCACTGGGAGAGGAGGAATGGTATCCTTGTCTTCCTCACAATGGTCCACGTCATCAGTCCCGCAAATCAACAACAACAATGTCGTCATGGATTGCACTTGTCCTCTCTCTCTCTCTCTCTCTCTCTCTCTCTCTCTCTCTCTCTCTCTCTCTCTCTCTCTCTCTCTCTCTCTCTCTCTCTCTCTCTCTCTC